AAATGGTATAGGTTTAACACTCTTTCAACACTATTCTATTATCTATTTGTGGTGGCCGAATTTTGCTATTCAAAAGGCTTTTTAATGGCTGCATCGATCGACATGCGGTTTTCGCCAAAAGATTCTTTAAAATATTCTCCAGATCATGACGCCCTTCGTTTTTTAAGTTTAGTGACAGTTTGGCTGCAAAAAGCTAAATTTCTTTATTTCGCCGGTCGCTTTTGTAGGCTGACGCTTCTGTCTTTGTAATTTTAGAAAATCCGGAAGTGATATTTCGCGAGGCGCATTTTGTATTGAGAGTATAGATCTAGACCTTATAATTTTCTGCATCTCTCAAGATTTATTGCTCCTTTCCAGTAGAGTGTAGTAGGCCAATGACTTTTAGTTGATATTAAAGCACCGATCATTCCTTTCATCGAAAGGGGGCCCAGCTTGTAGATTATATAAGAGGTAGGACCTCCGAGTTTAACGTCCATCTCCACCAATACTTTGATCACATATAAAACCACCAGACCATTATGAAGTAAATATTCGGAGGTGGTGGGATGTTAGTAAAAGAGCTAAAGGTGGACATCATCCAGTGCCAGATCTGCGACAGACATCGGCGATCACGGTTCTCCATTCATTCCTTTGCTCGGCTGCTCTTAAAAAAGCTACGTTTCCCTGATCTTTTCCCGTTACGCATTTGTTTCGGTTCCCTAAATAGGTTGCTCTGGGCCTACCCCTGCTTCGGTTGCCTTCAATTTTGCCAGTGAGAGCCAGATGTTCAAGACCTTTATGTCTATTCAGGTGTCCCCAAAACGACATTTGTCGTTTCCTGATTGTTGTCAACAGTGACCGTCCCAAGTGGATTGACAGTTTGTGCTTTACTTTAAGGGAAAATTGGAATTGCCCCCCCCCCCTTTTCCCTGTTCCACTCCATCCCTTCTACAGCCCGTTCTGTCTGTCGTGTTCCCTGATTCTGTGTGCTGCACTCACTTGTCCTCGCGGCTCCGCTCGTCAGCTGCAGACTCGATGTCCCCAGAACTCTGGAACGACAGAGTGAACATGGAGCTGAATGTGTGAATCACATTTACATAATATGTGAGGCGGGCTGACAAAATGAGTTACTTCTCGCAATCCACAATTGGAGATATTGGCCAAAAAATCGACATTGGGTTCAAATTTGTAGATTTTCTATTGATGCCAAATTCACATTCTTTAACAATAACATGTCTTTTATTATTTCATACTTTAAAAATTGTAAAAATTTCAGCTATGAGTGCGATTTATCTATTTCCTTAAGGCTTGAATCCGAGAAGCAACTCGATTTGTCAGCACGCCTCACATATTATTTCGTTATTTCAACGTGACATTTTTTACTGTAATATGAAGGGGGATATGGGGGTGTCTTGCATGTTTGTGTGTGTGTGTGTGTGT